TATTTATATAAATATATTATTTGTTTCAGGGGTACAGGTCTGTGATTCAACAGTCTTACAGAATTCATAGCACTCACCATAGCACACACCCTCCCCAATGTCCACGACCTAGCCATCCCATCCTTCCCACGCCCTTTTCCTCCAGCAAACTTTAGTTTGTTTCCTGAGATTTAAGAGTCTCTTATGGTTTGTCTCCCTCTCTGGTTTCCTCTTATTTCATTTTCCCTCCCTTCCCCTATGATCCGCTGTCTTGTTTCTCAAATTCCTCGTATCAGTGAGATCATATGATAATTGTCTTTCTATGATTGTCTTATTTTGCTTAACATAATGCCCTCTAGTTCCATCCACATAATTGCAAATGGCAAGATTTCATTTTTGATGGCTGTATAATATTCCTGTGTGTGTGTGTGTGTGTGTGTGTGTGTGTGTGTGTGTACCATGTCTTCTTTATCCATTCATCTGTTGTTGGTCATATAGGTTCTTTCCACAGTTTGGCTATTGTAGACATTGATGCTATGAACAATCCACTTTTTAAAATGGAAAATTTAATGTGAATTTGTCAAACTCTAGGCTTTCTGTTTTTAATTATAAAAGGCATGCTTAACCTAAATTTCTCAAACAATGTAAAATCAATATGGAGTCCCACATTTCTTTGATCATCCCTCTTTCCAGAGATAATGACTGTTAACAGTTTACTGTGCATTCCTGAAGAGGCAGCCTCATAAAGTTTTTCAGTAGAGGTATTACTTACCTTTCAGGATGAGGTAAAAAATAAGACAATACTGAGTTTCTCTTAATAAAAAAAAATATATATATATATCATTTACCACTTGGATCAAACTCTAAGTAAGCCATTGTTTTTTCCTGATTAATAAGGGAAGTGCTTTCCAGAGAAAATTCTAAATCCATACATCTTCCAAACAAATACACACAACTGTATTTATACACAGCAATAAGGCTGAAGCTTCTGTTCTCATATATGCATTGATCATATCACAAAAACAGTAAAATCTCATCAGAATGCTCCCTGACCAAATCATATTTCAGCAGATAATATTAAACCTCCCTGTCTCTTGGGTTATTGTGTCAGATCCTCTGATCACTCTTTCATTCTCAGCATCAACAAAACAACAGAAAAAAATTTTAAATGAAAACAAAGAACAGTAGGGGTGCCTGGGTGGCTCAGTAGGTTAGGCCACTGCCTTCTGCTCAGTTCATGATCCCATGGTCCTGGGATCGAGCCCCACGTTGGGCTCTCTGCTCTGTAGGGAGCTTGCTTCCCTTCCACTCTCTCTGTCTGCCTCTCTGCCTACTTGTGATCTCTGTCAAATGAATAAATAAAATCTTAAAAAAAAACCAAACAAACAACAGTAACAATATAGAGATGCTGTTGTTACTATACATTTTCCAGATACTGATAACTGAGTACAGATTTCTGTTTATAGGGTAGATAAGTGAGAAAATGCCATCAGAAATAGTTGAGTAATGCCCAGGTGTGCCTCAGTACTCAGAGGGAGGTTAGGTCCTTGAAAATTCGAGTAGAGCAAATAACATAATGGCTGGCAGAAATAAAGCATCCAAAATTGGTATTGAATTTTTTTGAAATGAATATCTTATTAGGATTCTTGACTTGAGATAAGTTAGAAGTTCTAAAAAAAAAAAACCTATCTTGATAAAGAATATCTAAAATTCTGGATAAAATATTCTTAATATCCATTTTTAAAACTCAAAGCTGGTTAGCAACAATAATCCATAGACCACAAGATTTTTAAAAAAGCTTTCACATAAGTTTTAAGACAATTGAAACCAACTTAATTATTTCCTTTTATTCATTTTAAAATCCAACACCACAAGACATTCAGGACTCTTAGCACACCACATCTCCTACAATTTCATGACTGTAGGCCTTCCAATGCTCTATTTTAACTCAAATTTCTACACCTACAACTCCTAAAATATGTATGTGCTTCTGCAAACACATATTCATTCATTCTCTAAATCCTCCAAATACTCAAACTTTGCTCTGACCTTTTCTTTACTTTCACTGTCTTCTGAGGACCTTGACTTTTTACAATCCTCTCACACAGTAGATATTTTTATACTCTCACCTCCCATTTCACTAGCCTGGGAGTGCCCTCCTTTCCTTTTTCATTGCCATACTTCCAGATCAGTGATGCTTTCTTCTCCCTAAAACCCATATTCCCACACTGTCCCTAATGACTGCCTATCTGTCACTTTCTACCTGTAGTCTTCATTTTCTGTCATCATGATCCATCATTGTTTTAAGCTGTCAAGTATCTGCTGCATCTTTCCCTCTCCATACAACCTTCACAATATCCTATTCTGGCTAAATCCAACTCTCTGCCTAAAACCATGCATCTTCATCTGTTCAAGGAAAAATGGGAAGACATGCTGCTAGGTTTCACTTTAATTTCATGACTGCTGATCAAAAAAGCACCATAGAGCTATCTGTCTTTTATTCTGTATTTATACATCCCTTTCATTCTCCCCCTGCTTTATACAATTATTTTATACTTCTTTTTTCTCAAACCTCTAATACCTTCTCCCCCATTCTCTCCCTTGGTTTGATTTTTCTTCCTATTTCTCTAAGACAACTAAAGCAATCTCAGGTACTTCGGATTCTCTTCTACCATCTACCTGCATGTTGCCCTTATACCCTACTTTCTCCTTTGTTACTATGGATGAACTATCTCTGCTCTCACAAAAAGCCAGTCTCTGGATTGTGTTTTCAGTACTCCCTTATCTTTATCCAAGGCTATACCTCTAGCAGTTGTCCTTTTCTCCCATATCTTGTTTTCTCTCTGACTGAATTCCTATAAATAATGCATCATTTATTTCTATAGTTATTATATAATTTTCAATATTTTTAATTCAAAATATGAAGTCTTATATATTGTTATAGATTGTTATGTTAATTGCCAGGAACCCATATTTTATGTCACTGTAAATTATATATATGCTTTACAAAATTGCATCAGCCATATCTTTGATATTGGTGTCTAGGAATATAATTTATTTTGATAAATTTGTATTTTTCTATCAATGGTGATAAGATTTCAATACTTATAATTGCTTTGCATCATCTCTGTAGGAAACCATACTATCTGCATATGATGACTTATCTTCAATATTTATAATTTTATTTATTTCTTATTCTGATTTCAGTAAACAACGAGTAGAAGTGTTAGTGGGCATGTTTTTCTTGTTCCCTATTTGAAAAGAAATGTCTCTAATATTCTTTCATATTCTATTGTGCAAGAGACTTTTTAAAATCATGACATGGCACTGAATTTTATCAAAAGTTGTTTTGAATACATTATCATTATCATTTTTCTCTTTATACCTGTCATCAAGCTGAATTACATTGGATGGTGTTATAAATTCCTCCTGCTATGCAGAGATAAATCTAAATTTGTCAGTATGTCACTATAATGTTTATACACATTCCTATTTTTAATTTGCTAAATTTTTATTTCAAACATTTGAATTTATGATTATAGGATTCAATTGTGGCTTATTTTTTTGAATTGTGATTTAATTTCTTATGTTCATGTCTGATGTTAGTGTCATGATCCTGTAAGCTTTGTAAAATTTATTGCAGTTCCTCCTTTTTAAAATGTTTTCAAAAGCATGTGAAATAGCTTAGGAATTTCTATTATTGAACATTTGCTAGAATTCATCAGTGAAAGGATATAATACAGTGTAAATGTTTTTAATTTATTTGTGTGTTCTATTTTTGTTTATATTATTTTAGAATGCTGTTCATCTAAGTTTTAACATTACTGACATAAAAACTTATTCCAAATCTATTTTTTCATTTCTAGTGTTTTCATTTGTGTTTTCTTTGATCCCCTTACCTTCCATGACTAATCTTGACTGAAGCTTGGCTCTCTTTTATTTAAATTATTTTTGTTGGTATATTTTATTTCATTAATATATGACCCTCTATATTCCCTTCTTTTACTACTTATACATTTACTCTAACTTATCATACTTCTTAACGAATTTCATCATTTGAATGCCTTTCTCAGCTATTTTAGGTTTTATATTTTTACATTGGGAATTTAAAGTATAAATTTTCCTGTCAGTACATCTTTGGCCACATACTACAAATAATATATATATTATTCCAAATTTAAGAATTTTTTTATTTCATTGTGTTTTTGACACATACATTATTTGGAAGTTATTTTTTAAAACTTCCATATGTAAGTGTTTTTATTTTTTGTTTTTAAAGTGATTCCCTAATTAATTACCTTGTATGATAAGTATATGAAATCTTCATTCTTTATATTAACAATTTTTGAGTTGTGCTTAGACTTGTTTTACAACCTAATATATCATCACTTTGTGAAATGTTCCATGTGTAACTGAACAAATTATTTAAATTTTTGATATAATTGGAAGATTTTATTTAAACCCATATATCATCATATATATGTATGTATAAGTATGTATATGTAGTATTTTTGTAACAAACAAGTTAAATTGTTAGATTTTCCTTATAAATTGTTCCTTTTGAGTTAAGTTGGTACCTTCTATCTGAAATGTTTGTCTGATATTGATATGGATACATACAGTTTTGTTGTTTTTATTATTTTTCTGATGCATCTTCTCTTCATTTAATTTCAATGGTTTCAGCTTAAGATATACTTTTAAGTATTCACATATGGTTCTATAGTAAATATTTAACCAATATTGCAATCTTTTTAAAGGGCAAGTTTATGCAATTTATATTTGTTACAAAGTATGATTTATTTGGATTGCTTTATTTCTTCACAATATTTTATGTTTCTTCATGTCTTGCTTTGTTATATTCATATTCATCTGTTTTCTTGACATTTTTGGTAACAGCTCTGTTGAAATATAATTTACATATGATAAATTCACACATTTAAAGTGTAAGTTCAATGGTCTTTGGTGCATTCACAAAATTATGCAACCATTGCCACAATTGATTTTAGAATATATTCATCATCAGCTTTGCGCACTGGCAATATCGTAGCCAATGAGGTTTATCTGAGGCGCGATTATTGCTAATAGAATATATTCATCAGCATAGAAGGAAACCCCATGCCCTTTAGCCATCACTTTTTTTTTTTTTTTTAAGCCATCACTTTTAAGTCCCCCAACTTCCAACTCCATCGCTTGGCAACTACTAATATACTTTCTGTTCTATAGATTTGCCTATTTCAGACATTTATGTAAATAAAATTATGCCATCATGTAAAATGTGATTTGTCTATCTTTGCATCACAATTTGAAGGTTCTTCCATGTTGTACTACGTATCAGTACTTTCTTTCTTTCTTTTTTTTTTTTTAAGGCTTTATTTATTTATTTGAGAGAGAAAGAGAGTATAAGCAGGGGAAGGGGCAGAGAGGAAGGAACAAGCTGACTCTGTGCTGAGCACAGAGCCTGACTTGGGGCTCAATCCTTTGACACTGAAATCATGACTTGAGCCAAAATCAAGAATTGGATGCTAAACTGACTGAGCCACCTGGTGCCCAGTACTTTATTTCTTTTTATTGTTGAATAGTATTCAATTGTATGGATATAACAAATCTATTTATCCATTCATTAGTTAATGGATATTTACCATTTTCAGTTTGGGGCTATTATGAACAATACAACTATAAGTATTCATACACAAATTTTTATGTGGACATGTACTTTCATTTCTCCCACAAAATGGGAAAAACAAAACTGAAAATCATAGATCTGATAAGGGACCTGTGTCTTTAGTATCTAATAGAGAACTCAAAATATTTATAACAATAAGTATTCCAATGTTAAAAAGACAACCCAACTTAAAAATGGGTAAAAAGTCTGAATAAAGATTTATTAAAGAAGATGTATAAATGGTAATAGCATATGAAAAGATTCACAACATTACTAGCCATGAGGGAAATGCAAATCAAAATCACACTGAAACACTTCACAGCCACTAGGATGATTGTAATAACAAAGATAAATAATTATAAGTATTGGCTAGGATTTGGAGAAATTTGAATCTTCATATATTGCTGGAGCATTTGTATGGCCACTTGGAAAACAGTTTGGTAGTTCTTGATTTTCTTTTGAAAATTTTCAGTCCACTTTTACTTTGTAGGTTTGGAAAATATTTTCTTTAATTCTATTATTTTAGTGATTTAAAATTTTAATTTTTTTAAAGATTTTACTTATTTATTTGATAGACAGAGATCACAAGTAGGCAGAGAGGCAGGCAGAGAGTGAGAGGAGGAAGCAGGCTCCCTGCTAAGCAGAGAGCCCGATGTGGGTCTCGATCCCAGGACCCGGGGATCATGACCTGAGCCAAAGGCAGAGGCTTTAACCCACTGAGCCACCCAGACACCCCGTGATTTAAAATTTTAAAGTCAGGCATGATTAAACTCAAAGTTATTGTCTTAAAAAGATTTAGCTCCAAGTAAATTGTTTCCCATCTCACATGTCAAACTATTTTAGCAGGTTTATTCCATGCTGTTTTAAGCCTTAAACTACATTATTATTAGCTTATACATCTGTTACTTTAGATACTGTGCCTATTTACCAATGTAATTGCTCAATAATCCTTCTTATATATCCAAAATTTTGGAAGTAAATTTATGTCTTCCTCGGTTCGTTATTAGAATTTGCTTCAGTTAATTATTAATTTTAAACTGTCTTAAATTTTTATTTCCTGGAAATGCTTTTATATATCTCTCAAACTTGAATGGTAATTTAGTTGGGTATTCAGTTCTAGGTTGACAATTACCTTCTCTAATAGCTTGGAAGATATAATTCCACTGACATTTGGCTTTCATTTTTGCTGTAAAAATTGCTATCTGTCTAAAATTTAATTATTTTCTAGAAAATCTCATTTATCTTAAAATTTGCCTCTAAGAATCTCTTGTGGGTTTTGGCACTTTGTCATTTTACAATAGAATATCTGAGTTGGTATTTTTCCTTTTTCTTTTTTTTCATGGCAAGTAGTAGTTTGTTGTGATCTGAAAACTTCAATTTTGGAAAATTCTTATCATTATCTTTTTATCTTTCCAATTCACTTTCCTTTTATCTTCTAGAACCCTAAATTGATATGTCAGAAATATGCACTACTTTTTCATGTCTTTTACCTTTCTTTTTCTTCATATCTTCACCATTTGGGGTTAATTCTGCAGGTTTCATTAACACTTCACTGATTCTCACTTCAGTTATTCCTTATGTGCTGTTTAATTCATCCATTGAGTTTTGACTTTTAGTGGATGAATATATGTATATATGAAATAGATATAAATGCACATACATATACATATATACACAAATACGTACATAGTCATTGACTATACATGTCAATACAGAAACACATATATATGTATATATATTACACATATTATATAATATGTGTATATATATATTATATGATATGTGTAATATATACACATATATATATATATACACATATATATTCACATATATATATACACATATATATATATATATACACATATATATTCTTTTAAGATTTTATTTATTTACCTGACAGAGAGACAGCGAGAGCAGGAACACAAGCAAAGGAAGTGAGAGAGGGAAAACAGGCTTCCCACTGAGCAGGGAGTCTGATGTGGGACTTGATCCCAGGACCCCAGGACCATGACCCCAGGTGAAGGCAGACGCCCAATGACTGAACCACCAGGTGCCCCTACATGTATATTTTTATGTGTGTATGTTTGTGTTCACAGAACTGCTAAATAGCCATTTCTTGTATCTGCCATGACATATTTGCAATCTCTTTCCTAATGAGTTATTTTCTTTTCTGTCTTCCTCATTTTAAACATGTAACATCATGATTTTTTCTCAAAATGTGTTTTCTAAAAATTTTGCTCATGCTTATTTTAATTTATAGCAGCCTATGTCATGCTGTTCTCTGTAATTTTTTTGTGTAAAAGCTGAAAAAAATGACATTGTGACCTGTTTTGATTTATCCAAGGATTATAATGTTGACTTAACAGAGACCATGTGCAATGCCATTTGTTACATTAAATTGATACTACAGAAGTAAACTTAATAACTCATTAAAAAGAATCTAACAAAAATGTGTAATATGTATTAATGAGAAATTGTGGTAACTCTTAAAGAATTTATGTCAAGTGGGGGTGCCTGGGTGGTGCATTGTTTAGACTTCTGAGTTTTGGTTTCAGCTCAGGCCATGATCTCAGGGTTGTGAGATCAAGCCCTGCGTTGGGATCCATGTTCAGTGCTGTGTTGGCTTGAGATTCTGTCTCTGCCCCTTCCTCCACTCATGTAAGCACACACATGATCTCTCTTTTTCTCTCTCTCTTTCTCAAATAAATAAAATCTTAAAAAAAATTTAACTCAAGTAAATCATTATCATCATCGTTTATATTCAATTTCAATTTTTTTTTTTTTAAATGGGGACAGCTGGTCAGCACAGTTAGTTGAGGATAGATATTAATATCCCAAGAATTAGGATGGGGAAAAAAAATACTAACTTGTTTTTATAGATATAATCATATAAATAAATAAATAGTGAAATTTATAAGAAATATTTGAACCATTTAAGGTTATCTATAAGGTTATTACATAAAAATCACATAAGAATCAAATTTGCTTCTATACACAAACACAAACAAAAAATGATGTGGATGATACTTAGAAATAAAGTGCTCGGCTAAAATTAACATGTCACGAAAAATTATATACAGTGGATTTTAGTGTTATATTTATACAAAAAAGTAACATAATAAAAATAAAGAATATTTAATACAAATTTCAGAAGACTGTTTCCCTTATTGTATTGAGGAACAGATATGGGATTGTAAAAGATTTTGAACTAATTTGTTTATTATAATAATTCAGTCTATAGCACATAGTTTCATTTTTTTCAAGATTTTGCTTATTTATTTATTTGAGAGAGAGGGAGAGCATGCATGTGCACGCAAGCAGAGGGAGAGGCAGAGGGAGAAGGAGAACATCTCACGCAGATTCGGCACTGAGCATGGAGCATCATGTGGAGCTCAACCACATGACCTGATGCTTGTCATGATCAATGATCATGACTTGAGCTGAAATCAAGAGTCAGACGCTTAACCCACCGAGCCACCCAGGTGCTCCACACATAGTTTCATTTTTAAAGCATACTCTTCAAAATTGTGTCATCTCTTCAGGCTGCTATAACAAAATACCTTAGGCTGGGTGGCTTATAAACAAGAGAAATGTATTTATTTATTATGCAGGCTGGAAGTTCAATCAGGGTATCAGCAGAGTTGAGTTCTGGTGAAGGTTCTCTTCCAGGGTGCAGACTGATTGCTCCTTGCATCCTCACATGGCAGAAAGTAGAGAGAGGAAGCAAGCTCTCATGACTCATAAGAGCATGATCCCATTCATGAGGCTTCACTTTCATGACCTCATCTAATCCTAATTATCTCCCAAAGGCCTTAACTTCCTAATACCAACACATGGAGTTGGGAGCAGGGTTTCAAACATATGAATTATGAGGGGGACATAACATGTACTTTATAACATAAAATATTCTTTACAAAGTGATTTATAGTACTGAGTGAAGTAAAATTCTTTATTTCTAGGGGTCACTGTCTGAATCCCTACAATGCGTACCCAATGGTTATTTATTGTTATTGAAAAAAACTAAAACCAGCTTTGTTTACCATTTGTGTTTTACTTGTCTTAGCAATATGTTACATATGAAAGAGATAAGCCTACTTATAGTATAGACAGATATACTGATGATAGCTTTCTTCTAATGTACTTTAGGGGAAGGTGAAGTAAGAGAGAAAAGCAAAGCAAAATAGGAGGGATAACATGGTAAAGAGTGACTAAGAACAGAAAGTTGATAATATGTCGAACAATATTAATAAAATTACATTATAAAATATCTTGTTCCTAACTTAACGAGTCTCTTACCCAGATGTTACATTTTAAGACGTATTTTCCTAATCTAAATCTTCTATCAATCTTATGTTTTAAGAAATTTGCATAAATTGACATCAAGCTATAAATATTTCAAATTTTAATTCTTGAAATTAATAATCAAAAACATGTCCAAACGTGAACTATCTTGCTGCAGTACTAAATTATTTAACCAGCAATAGCAAGATCAAATTACTATTTGAC